AAAAAAAAAAAAGGTTACTTTGAAGGATTAATTCCCCAAACCATTTTAGTTTTCTTTTCATTGATTGAGTTAACTGTGAAGTATCTGTAGAAAAGAAACATCACAGTTTCTCAGAGTGGGAGGTATGCACCTCTGGGGAGGCTTTAGGTGGCTGATCTGAAGCCTCCTGAATCTTGGCTCTGCCACTTACCAGCACTGTGACTTTGATTTTCTCAATTGTGAAACGGGAGGGGTAAGAGTAACCTCATAGGGTTGAGGATTAACCAAGTTAATACTATAGAACTCTTAGACCAGTAGCTGGCATGTGCATGTGGGAAAACTGCCTCCTAGAGAGCTCACACTCTCCGACTGGAATTTATAAGGCGACTTGAGTGAAGGGCCAGATAAGAGCTGAGGTATCTTTGGCTTTGACTGTCACTAGTCCTCAGACTTACTTTTCTCCTTGTGGGCAGACTCTCCAATAGGCCACCTTCCCCATGGACCTCCTCCTCTAGGCAGAAGCAGGGCAGATGCCCTGGCATCATTCACATTCCATTCTTCTTGGGCAAGCCAATTTCCCATCCCACACAAGCCTTTTGCCTTTGTGTTAGTATATTCTACATAAGGCACCTTCTTGACACTCGAGCCTCATCTCTTCCTCCTTATTTTAGCTTTCTGATGATGGCCTCCTCGGGCACCATCCTGCTTTGAGGAGGCCATCATAAAAGCATGATGGCACTCTTTTTAGTTCTTCTTGTCCTGTGATTGAATCCTACCTGTGAATCTCTGTGTCCCTATCTATGTCTACCTGTGGTCCTCTGTGTCTCTCCCTATGTCCTGGATAAATATTTTCTCTGCCTAAGAGAGGCAGAAAGGTGGAGTTCCAAAGCTGGCCCTGGATTCTTGATCTCCTTTCTATGCCCAGAAAAGGTATTTTCCTATAGGTTGGGGGCAGAGGAATGGGCTCATAAATCTTTCTTTTTTTCTCAGGTTGCAAGAAGCCTGTGTCTGCCTCAGGGAAGGAGATGGATTGGGCACAGATGGCATGCCACCGATGTCTAGTGTACCTGGGGGATTTGTGTAAGATTCTGCACTTTTGATTTTCTCTTTTGGGCTATAGGCAGGCCAACCTTCACATGATCAGAGAGCAGGAAGAGTAGTTTGGCCTCTGGTAACTTTTTCCTCCAGTCCGCCTCAGTGGTCCCTTTTTTTTACTGTCCTGTTAGAAATGGTCAGTGAGGCTCGGCACCTGTGGCTCAAGCTGCTAAGGCGCCAGCCACATACACCTAAGGTGGCGGGTT